AGAAATGGAGCAGGCGACGTGTGGAGAGAGGTGAGAGGGTGGAGAGAAATTGATAGATTTAGGGTTTAAATAGATTTAAGGTTTTAATTTATTAAAATGATAAAAACCTGAAAAATGGAAAAATAAAGTGAAAACTTGATTTTTTAAAAACTCAAATTAAAGGCCTGGTTTTTGGTAATTACTCTAACAACAAGTGTAGGAGGAGATTTTTTGATAATGAATTTTATGAAAAATATTTTTGAATAACATATAGTTAAAAAAAAATTGGTTTACTTGAAAATTATTTAATTAAAAAATAAATTTTAAAGAATATATACCAAACAAAGCCAAAACTACACTACTTTTGTCTAAAAAATTAAAAATACTCCTTTTAAATTTTTTTAAATACATCTTTTTCATTAAAAATCAATATTTTACATTTAAATCATTTTATTATTTTCTTTATATCCATATTTATTATTTAAAATCAATGTATTAATATTTATTAAAATTAACATTTTTTACAAATTACATTTAGGGTAAAAATGTGTTACAGTTTTACAGTGTTACTTGTAGAGTATGATTAAAATATTTTTATTAGAAATAATATTTTCTGGTAACATATATGTTCTATATATTTTTTTAAAAAAATCTAGGTTGTATACAAATAATAGCCTAATAAACATGATGGACGCTACTGGCTACCATTAAGTTACAAACGTGGATAACACATATTATATATAAAGTAATGCTATTCATAGTCGCTCACTACAGCAGTCGCCATATGTGGCACACACATTGTATGTAGTTATTTGATACATTAATGTGATAATTTTTTACCACATTAATACTTTAAATACACACTTGACATGTGTGTGCCACGTAGGGCAAACTGCTGCAGTGAGCGACTGCAAATAGCATTATTCTTATATATAATATTAAATAAAAAAATAGTAATCGTGGTGGATTCGGCTCAACCCCACTTCTACTCCCAAGTGAGAGTGCAACGGTAGGTACTTTGCCATCCCTTGGTTCATAACTAAACTTTAAGGCTAGGCAATATACTCTGATTTGATAATCAACTCAACCTGATTGAATTGATGTTTGGCCTCTTTGTGGTTTGTGTCACCCATTCGGGAAGTCGTACCAGAGATCTTGTCGATTTCGAGGAGTCCTTGCCAATGTTTATGACAAGAAGTGAGTGAAATTGCAAAGGTCATGACTAAGGCACCGACGACTTTGATAATTCGATTAGTAGAAATTACTAATTAGTAAAAGAAAGATGCAAATGAACTTTGGCCGTTTGGGGAAAAGGGAAATATTTCCCCCCCATTTTTGTAGAGGGAATTCAGATCGTCACGTGTGTAAAATTGTTTAGTTGATTTTAACTTTTCATTTTAGATGGTATCAGCATTAGACTCGGAGAACTACTGATCTTGAGTGGAAAGTTGAGGTGGGTCGAATCTCACCACAGTTTGTTACTAGATCCTCGTCCATTCGTTCTAACTAGATTTGATTTAAATGTGTCAAAATGTATTTGACTATCTAAGCTCGATAAGGTCCAATATGTAGTAGTGGGTGTCGTGAGCCAGTGTGTTTATATAGTTAGACTGCACCAGCTCAATTGTAGAGGCTTGCAAAGGTAAAGCCCAAAACTGTTAAATGTTGAAAATTGTATTTTGGTAAAATTTGTGGTCTTTATAGTCCACATATTCCTCATCTGTGTTTTCCTATAAGGGAGCCAGCTTTTGTCCTAAATTCCAATTGGCCACGTAGATCGTGTTCAGCAAAGCTCAAGAAAATTTAAAAATAAACAAAATCTCGTAAGCAAATTACTTATTTTAAGAATGAATCGAGAGTTACTAATAACTTTTTTTAAAGCTTAGCCAAACATGAAATTAAGAGCCCGTCTTATGCATTTCTAAATTTTGCAGGCTGCAAGCACATAAAGTAGAAAAATATACAATTATATTTATTCCATTCTAACATATATCAGTTTTCTTTGAATTTTTCACTTGACTTTGCATGGCTTATTAGTTCAAAAGGATAAACCATAAACTCGGAGGCAGGCCATAATCTTGCAGCTTCTGCTAAATTGGAACCCAAATTTGATGTTGAATCTTCATTACAATCTGAAAAGTATTTTCCACTTATATTCGCGAGCCCCGAATTTGTAGCAACATAACAAGTCGTAGCAGCTGCCTAGAATGAGAAAGAACAATATATGTTATCCTAATTCTAAAAATTGGGTATGATTAGGGGCGGACCCAGCACCTGGCCAGCCCCCGCGATCAGCCGTGATGGGTCCGTCGTAGCTTCAATTCAGCCAACCTTCAACACCGTCCACCTAGAAATGGAGAAAAAAGCCAGAAGGCAGAAGCCCATAATTTTTTTTTTTGGTTAGTTCATTTTCGAAGATAGTTCAAACCTAAATGAATGGGCCCAATCAATTAGCCAAAACCCTCCACAAGGCCACAACCCAGTCCCAATTGCAAATTGACATCGGAGAGGAGCTGAGGAGAAGAGGGAACTATTGCGACTCTGAGTGTGAGCATGTCTGGCTGTCTGCCCGATTGCATCGCTTTCGAGACCTGCTGCCTGTTGCCTCCAACGACCAATTGACGAGTCGGTGGTGACTTGGTGAACGCAAAACGCCTAAACGCCGTTAAGGACTTACGTTAAGCGCTAGTCTCCATTCCGCTCGGTTTTTTTCTTTATGTATCCGTTTTTTTTTCTTTTTTGTGAATTTGTGGTTTATTATTGTCTGAGAGACTCAGGTATGAGAATATGAGTTGATGAGTTATAAGTTTGATTTGTGTATAGTAATAGGGGGAATTGGATTAGGAATTGGGGGAAATTAAAATTGGATTTGGAATTGAAATAGGATTAGGAAATGGTA